TCAAAGGAAGATATGAAGAGTCTGAGTCAGAGCAGGATGTTGTATGGGAAGTCCTAGAAAGGCATGGGTAGTTCAAAGATAAGGAGGGATGGTGAGCATGGAGGGATCTTTGTTCATTCTTAGGCCTGATCTGGAATCTATTCTGTTGCTCCACTAGTAATGAACAGGAAGGGAAGAAAGATCAGAGGACTGATTCAACTCAGCTGATGGTCTAGTTGGACAGATGAATACGAGGTCCCAGAGAGCATTGGAGCAGCATTGGATCAGCTAGGGAGGAAATGCAGCTAGAGCTGACTCCTGAGTACCCACACTTATTGAACGTTGACAAGAGACCGTGAATGGAAAAGCAGGTGGGGGTGCTGGCTAAATCAGTGGGAGCAGCTGCTAGGGAGATCTGAGTCCATGCACCTTAATTGCATGCCTGGAACTCTTAAGGCATGCCTATGGATTGCTTAAATCTTGTCTAGGGTTGAGGAATGGGTTCACCAGCAGTTGCTTTAATATATTTGATTTTATTCTCTTTGTTTTAATGAGTATGAATAAAAAGCTATCTGTAGTTAAATCATAATTGTGTGATTGACTATATTATGCTATGTTTATGTGTCTTCAATGAAATTCAAAGAGAGCAGGATTGTCCCAGTGGGAGCTGAGCCAAGTGGCTTTTTAATTTTTTTTAGTCAATAGCATTTATTAGGTATTTCTTGAGTTCCAGGCACTGTGCTAAGGGCTGAGGATACAAAGAAAGGCAAAAACAATCCCTGTCCTCAAGGAGTTGATATTCTAATAGAGGGGATGCTAATTGGAGAAATCCTCACAGACCCCACTGCCAGGCTAATGAGTCAAACACTGACATACACAAAAAGATTGGAGCCAGGGGCTGCAGGTAGCCAGCTCTCTGAGAAAGAGAGAACTCAGATTTTTCCCCAGAGTGGGTGTTTCAGTGTTGGATGGCATATATAATCACCATGCAAATAAGGAATTTCCAATGTCTGATTATTCTTTATTTTCCAGCATTTATATGGTGCTTTAAGGTTTACAAAGTACTTTACAAATATTATCTCATTTTGATCTTCATAGCAACCCTGAGAAGCAAGTGCTATTGTTATCCTCCTTTTACAGATAAGGCAGCTGCGATAGAAAGAGGTTAAGTGATTTGCCCAAGGTCACATAGCTAGTAAGTGTCTGAGGCAGCATTTGAACTCAAGTCTCTTTGATTCCAGGCCCAGCATTCCATTCACTCCACCAATTGTTGCTGAACAGGATTAGGCAAGTGGCTGGCAATATCTTTTGGTGAGACACACACACAAACACGCATATCTCCACCTTTACGAGGTGTGTATGTATGATACACAAGTGATATATGCTTATACATATGCATATACAACCTATATATATATATGCACACATATGTACACAGTATGGATACCTAATAACACAGTGCACACATATGTGTATAAAATAATATATGTATATATGCATATATGCATGCATGCATGTTTGCACATGCTAAAGGTGCTGAAAACAGACAATGACCTGGGATCAAAATTGAATGTTGGATGGATTAAATTTAACGTTGGAGTAGATGCCATGCAAGATTTGGAAGTCAGAATACTTCGGTTCCTATCCTTCCTCTGATACTAGTTGTTAGTACTAGCTGTACTTCCACAGCTGTATGATAGCAGTTATAGGACCCACCTCACAGGGTTGTTGACATGCCCAAATGGGTAGCGTCCACAAGATGCTTTGCAAGTGCTAGCCTATTGGCAAGGTTCTTCTAGTTTGCTACATAACATTTCTCAATATGCCCTCTTTCCTCTGACACATCCGCCACCCTGCTTCAGACCCTCATCTTCTCATGCCTGGATTATTGCAATATCCACTGGTTGTTCAGCCTGCTAAAAGTTTCTCCCCACTCCAAGCCCATCCTCCACTCAGCTGTCAAAGCGATCTTCCTAAAGTGCAGTTCTGATCATGTCGCATCCCCCCCCCAATAAATTCCACTGGCTCCCTCTCATCTTGACTGAGGATCAAAACTAAAATCCACTATTTGACATTCAAAGCCCCCCACAACTTACCCCATCCCTTTCCAATTTTTTTTATCCAATGATAAACTCCTGGAACTTCCAGCCTGGAATAGTCTCCCACCTCATCTCTGTCTCCCAGCCTCCTGACTTTCTTCAAGCCCCAGTTCAAATCCTGCCTTTTACAGGAAGCCTTTCCTGAACCATCTTAATTCCAGTACCTTCTTTCTATTTATTATTTCCAATTTTTTCCTTAATATATCTTGTTTGTATGTAGCCATTTGCATGTTATCTCCCTCATTTGACTGTGATATCCTTGAGGAACTGTCTTTTGCCTTTCTTTGTATCCCCAGTGCTTAATAGTATCTGGCACATAATTAGTGTTTATTAAGTGGTTATTGATTGATTGATTCTGTCCTCAAAATCTTTTAGTAAGTTCTCTACTGCCTATCAAGTAAAATACACGCTCTTTAGATTACTACTTAAGGCCTTCCACAATCTTTCATGAATCTACTTTCCCAGCCTTATTTCACTCTATTTTCCTTCACAAGCTCCTTGGTCTAGTCAAGTTGGATTTTTCACCATTACTTCATCTCATCTTGCCCTGGGCACTGTCTACATTTGCATATACTTTCCCATTGCCTGCAATGAACTCCCATTAATGCCTTGGCCTATTGATATCTGTATTTTCATTCAAGGTCTGACTCAGTAGGTGCCACCTCCTCTATCAAGTCTTCCCTATTCTTCATGTGAAGAGCTCATCTTCCTTAAGTCTCTCATGCAATGTAATCTAAATTGCATTAAAGTTACTTGCATATTGGTATCACTCTCTATTAGATTATAAGCACCTTGAGGGTAAGGAATCTATCATGTTCATCTTTGTATCTCCATTGTCCAGCGCACTAGGCAATTGATTAATATGTGCTAAGTGCTATATCCCTGTGAGGACTTAATACAGACATTGTTGGATCATTAATAAGCATTTATTTAACATCTTCTATAGTAGAGCTACCTACTATAGAACACCTAGTTTAGTGAGGAACTATACAGGTATGCCTCCATTTCTTCAAGGAAGAGAAAACTTGAGATGATCCAGCAGATAAATGGGGTGAAGAAAATGAATTCATCACAGATCTCCACCCTTTTATTTTGTGGTGAAGCATGCATGATTATAACTCTTGCATGGAACCCTGAATAGTTATAATTATAGGTTGAGTAAAGAAATAGTTGGGCAGCATGTTGCTGTGTTCTTTCCTGGGGTCTTTTTACACCATTTGAAGAGCTTTGTCAATCCTTGTATATGTGCATAGGGCTATTTCATTGATTATCATTTCCTAGAGAACAGCTAGGTAATTTGATGTATAGAGCACCAACTTCAGTTGGTGGCCATCTCATTTTCTTGTTATCATTGGGAAAATACCAGAAAAAAACAATGAAAGACTCTTCTCTCTGTACCAGAAGGGAGTATAACTAGCATTCTATAGGAAATTCTATGGGATTCACTGATAACAGTGATTGTTACAATGATTTAGGGGAAGAGTAATAATGTAGATTAAGGCACAGATGTAAACACTGACTACTCTACCAATCAGGCAAGCCTTTCTGCATGCCAAGTTAGAATCATAGCATCTCAAAGTTGCATGGGTCTTCAGAGTTCTTAGGCTTCAACCTATATCTGAACGGCAATCCCCCATTCAACTTTGTCAACATCCCTACCAAGTGGTCACCTAGCTTCCATTTGAAGTCTTGAAATAGTGAAAAATATCACCTCTGGAAGAAATCTCTTTTACTTAGAGGGAGAAACAGAAGTGCTATTTTGTCAGGAACATGCTCCAGATCACCCAAACGAAAAGGGAAAAGTAGTTGAAAAATTCTAAGATATACAGTGCAAATAATAATAATATTTAATATTAATAATAACAGTAGTGATAACAATAATAATAACATTAACTGACATTTATATACTGCTTACTATATGCAAGGCACTGTGCTAAGTGCTCTAAAATTATCTCATTTGATCCTCACAACAACACTGGTAGATAGGTGCTATCTTTATCCCTATTTTACAGATAAAGAACTGAGACAAATAGAGGTTAAATGACTTTCCCAGAGTCCACAGCTAGTTAGTGTTTAAGATTGGATCTGAACTCAGGTCTTCCTGACTCCAGGCCTGGTGCTCTATACATCAAGTTACCTAGCTGTCAGAGGCCTAATATAGTCATGATGGAGGATGCTGGATCTCTGGACATCTGATAGAGCACCCTCTCCCCTCCATAGGCAGAACAGTTGACAAATGCTTACTTTATTTAGTAATAATTTTGTTCTTCCAAAGATGGAGTAGACAATAATGTGAACTATTTCTTTGGTCCTGATTCTAACCAACAAAGTAGAATTGTTTATTGAAGCATAGATGATGGGAGCTCTGCAGTCAAGAGCTAATTCCACTTTAGACTTCATAATAGAGAAGGAGAGGGAAAATGGGCTAGTCTAACATTTAGCCCAGATTTGGGGGAAAGGGATTACAAAGATTTCAAAGGAAAGAATAAGTGGCATCCCACGGCCTCAAATTTTGTAGGGGAAAGTTGAATCCATAGGAATGGAAAAGTCTTAGGGATAGAATTCTGAAGACACAGATGCAAACACAAATGATTCTGATGAGAAAGAAAGGAGAAGTTGTCTGAAGAGATTGATGCAGATGCAGAGAGAACTCATCAATTACAATAGAAACATACATATAAACATATGTACATATGTAAATATACATATGTGTATATATATATGTGTGTGTGTCTGTGAGATGGAAGGAAGGGACACGTTATAACTTGATCCTGTAACAAGACTTTTTAAAAAGCCATGTTTGGGATAAGAGGAGGAACAAAGAAAGGATAGGATTGCTGCTAGGGATAAGTAAATGACAACAGAAAATGATGAAAAGACAAAACTGTCTAACTCTTGTTTTGCTTCTGTTTTCTCCACCAGAAAGAATGATCTTGGGATTGGGAAGAATAGAACCAAACAGGTTAAAAGGGTGAGAAGAAACTAAAAGAATACCTGGTTGGCCTCAATGAGATAAATTCACCAACATCAGATGAACTTCATCTTAGGGTCTGAAAAAAATGAAGAGAGGAGATTGTTGGGAGATGTCAAGAAGCTCTCAATAAACTTTGAAAAATCAAGGAGAGCACAAGAGATTCTGTAGAGTTTCTCATTGACAAATGTTGTCCTGATTCACATGGAAGAGAGTAGAGATCTGCTTTATCACATCTAGCCATCTACTGGGACATCAAGGCTTAGCCAGTGGGTATTTATCCATCTCTCTTGCTATCACCCTATAATTCTCTCTGCCCCAATTTTTACCTATTGCTCAGGGAACCATATTCAAATCAATATTATGATTGCATCTGGAATGGACATGCCAATCTATTGTCCTGTGACTTTACTTACAATCCATGTGACTGTTTAGAACAAAGTTTCTTTCTGTTGCTACCACTTCCTGATTTGTATTATAGTTGTATTTCCAGGGAAAATATATATAAATAAATCATATATATCACCGCTGTGTGCCCTACATAAACTGTGCACCCAAACTCCAAAATGAGCCCAGTTTCAGACTGGCTCCCTTGGGAAGCCCAGTTTTGGACTGCAGTTCCCATGTATGTGTGCCACCAGCTTCAAGAGAAATAAAAACATGAATATAACCTAAAAAAAATCATATAAATTATATATATGCATGTATGTGTGTATACATATACAATTTTTCTCCCAGTTACATATTAAAAGCATTTTTTAACATTAAAAAAAGTTTTGAGTGCCAAATTTTATCCCTCTCTCCCTCTTTCCTTCCCTTCCCCCTCCATGAGATGGTAAACAATCAGATATAGACTATACATGTGCAATCATTTTAAGACATTTCCATATTAGTCATTTTGTAGAAGAAGATTCGTTTCCTTTTTTGACCATGCTACTAGACTGGTTGCTATACTAGACCATGTTACAAGGCTAGGCTATGATGTAGGTCAGAGTGTCAACCATGACCCAATAGGTCTGAACTAGATTAAAATGTAAATTGAAAATATTTAACAAAATAAACAAAAATAAAATCAAACATAGATACTGTTAGTACGTGATTTTCTAAGTCAATGGATGGCCTGAAGGAATCCTTATGTATGGTTTAAAAGCTCCTGCTTGTATTTGAGTTTGAATCCACTGGGGTAGATATAGATGCTTAGATTTTTAACAATATATTTGTCTCAGTCTCTTAAGCTGAATTTGTTTTTTTTAAGTTTTAACTTCATTTTATTCTGAACTTTAAGAAAAAAACCAAGCATTTCCATAACATAGTAGAATAGAAAAAAAATGATCATACATGAAACTGCAAATCTATTATATATAACTTGCTCTTCCTTTTAAATATGTAATGAAGTTATCATGTAACTTTTTTCTTTTTTCTCCCTCCACCCTTAAGATGGCTATTATTAGACACAATATATATGTATATATACACATACATACATACTCATATGTATATATGTTTATACGCATGCATGTATATATGTATATGTATGTCTCTATATACATATATATGTATAAAATCATTCTATGTATACTTCTATTAATCAGTACTTTCTCTGGATGAAGATAGCGTCTTCCTTCATATGTTCTTTGTAGTTAATTTGGGTATTTATAGTAGTCAAACTGACTTAGTCACTCAAAGTTGTTTTTACAACAATATTGTTGTTACTGTATACAACATTCTTCATGTTAAATTTGTGAAGAAGAAGGAGAGATGAAGCCAATGTAGCAGCACAATTAAAAGGATTCAGAACTAGTGCAATGACCAAACCAAAAGTGTCAACATGAAAGGATTGATGTCAGCTTGGAAGGAAGCCTTTAGGCCTGAGTGCCTCAGGAATCTATCCTTGGCCTTGCAGTATTCAACATTTTAATCAGTGGATGAAGCTATAGATGGCATGTGTTTTATCAATTTTTAAGATGATTAAAAGATTTATTGTACAGTTGAGTTCAACTCATCATGATCCCATTTGGAGTTTTCTTGGCAAAGATTCTGGAGTGGTTTGTCATTTCCCTCTCCAGCACATTTTACAGATGAAGAACTGAAGCAAAGAGAGTTAAATGACTTGCCCAGAGTCACACAACTAGTCCGTGTCTGAGGACAGATATGAATGCAGGAAGATGAATCTTTCTGACTCCACACCCAACACTGTATCCACCTAGCTTCCCATAAAAGATTAGAAGATAGAAGGGATAATTAACACTGGATGGCAGTGTCAGGATCTGAAAAATTTTTGACAGGCTGGAAAAATGGGTTGAATCCACTAGGATGGACACTAATAGGGTTAAATATAAAGTTGTACACAAGTTAAAAGAAATCATTTGCGTAAGCGTGTAATGAGAAAGCATTGCTAGACAAAAGGTCTGGGGTTTAGTTGACTGCAAGGTCATTGTCAGTCAATAGTGTCACATAGACAACAAAGGCAATGCAATCCTAGTCAATATTAAAAGACCATTGATACCCAGAATAAGGAAGTGATAGTACTGCCATTCTCTGCCTTGGTCAGACCACATCTAAAATATTGTGTTTGGTTCTTGGCACCACATTTTAGGGAGAACATTGGCAAACCCTGGAAAGCATCCAGAAGATGGTGGTGAAGGGACTAGAGACCATTCCATATGTGGTTTGGCTTAAGGACCTGAGAATATGTCAATAGGAGAATAGAAGACTTATGGGAAAAATAATAGTTGTCAACACATATTTGAAGGGTTGTCATGTGGAAGAAGGCTCAGACTTGTTTGTCTTGGCCCCATTGGACAGAACTGGGAGTAGCGTGTGAAAATTGCAGAAAGGCAGATCTGGGCTTGCTGTAAGAAAAACCTTCCAAACCATGAGAATTGTGCAAAAGTGGGATGCCCTGTTTCATAAGGGCGAGCTTTCCCTAACCCCAGAAGTCTTCCTGGTGAGGGTGGATGACCACTTGTTGTGGGGAATGTCTGTCTTGGTGTGGTTTTAACCAAATGCCCTCTGAGGTCCTTCCCAACTCTGACATCCTGTGATTTTGTCACTGCTCTCTTTTGGTTAGAAAATTTTTCCATGAATCATATACATATTCACATGGAAATGTGAAAGCGAAAACTAGGAAAGAAAAGGAAATGTACCTAGCACAGTTTCATAGAACAGCTTCTAGCTTGCTGCCTCTATTTCCTCAGACCATAACCTAATAGAAATAATTCTTTTTCATTTTCTAAACTATTTACGCACAATCTGAAGTAAAATCTACCATACAATAGGGCCTCATAATAAAAGAGGATTGCTATAACATGGATTTGCATAAACCAAAGATCAAATTTTATCTGCAACAACATTACAATTACTTATAGTAAATGCATTATATTCGAAGGTTTACTTTCACAGGGGTTTAAAAAACTGAGGTGTCAAATAGTATCTTCTGAAACAATAACGTATAGTAAAACCTGGTTAACTGTAATATGGTTATCTTCATAGAATCACCATCAGACCATAATTCAAAGTATAATTGATCTAGAGGTGGAAAGGACCTAAGAAGTCACCTAATGCAGCCTCTTCATTTGACATATCAGGAGGTGGAGGTTCATGGAAATGAAGTGACTTTCCAAGTTTACATAGGTAGTAAGTAACAGATTTTGAGCTGGTTAGTTTTGTTTCCTCAATACTAGTTTTAGCGATATGTTATGCTATGCTTCAGAATCAAAATGTTTCTGACTAGGGAACGTGTGAACTGATTCTAATTCCAACTCTTTTACTAGCTTGCAGTGTAAGCTTGAGAGAGAGAGACTTTACCTCTTTAGGTCTCAGTTTCCCCATTTGTAAAAAAGAGATTATGTGATTTTATGATTTTATATTAATAACTAGAACATATACATACATATATACACACATACATATATATATATGCATTGACATATTACAATTTTTTAGTTTGTGATATCTGTCCCCTGCCACTTCTGTGGGAAACACCAGTGATGCCCACATCTAGTGCTCATTAGGAACAAAAAGGAGGGTTCATGTGCCAGGGATCAAACACATGACAGCATGCTTACTACCTTGAGTAATTTAAATTTCATATGAACATCTTTCTTTGAGATATAATCTGTTTGAATACCTAGTTTTGTTCTGTTATTCATTTCATTGTTCATTCACTCTTTCCATCATCCATTCATTTATTCCATTTTTCCTCTTATCTGACCTTGAATTTCATTTCGTACATTTGCCTGTTGACCCTCATTCCTCCACATTGCCAATCTCATCTCCTATACATGCATCCATGACTCTTTTTTTTTTTTTTGGCAATTGGGGTTAAGTGACTTGCCCAGGGTCATGCAGCTAGTAAGTGTCAAGTGTTTGGTCTGAGGCTGGATTTGAACTCAGGGCCTCCTTCAGGGTTGGTGCTCTATCCACTGCACCACCTACTTGCCCCTCATCCATGGCTCTTGTTCAGGCTCTCATCACCTCTTACTTGAACTACTACAGTAGCTTTTTGATTGGTCTCCCTGCCTCAAGTTTCTCCTCGTCCTCCACATAGCTATAGAAATGACTTATGCAAAAATATTGATCTGACCATGTCATTCCTCTGCTCCATGAATTACTGTGACTCCCTATTACCTTTAAGATCAAACATAATTTCTTCTATTTGGCATTTAAAAGCCTTCATAATCTGTCTCCCAATTTTCCAGCCTTATTACACATTACTCTCTTTCATGCACACTAATAGCCAGCCAAATTGGTCTTACTGTTTTTTTTTTAATATATGGCACTCTATTTCTTTTCTTACTTCTGCTTCTTAGAACGTTACCTTCCTCTAAGACTCAGCTCAAGCACTGTCTTTTCTATAATGGGTTTCCTGATCCCCTAGCTGCTAGGACTTTCCCCCTAACATTATCTTGTATCTATTTTTTAAAAAAACTTACATACGTACATACTGTTACCCTTTGATAGACTGTAAGCTCCTTGAGGGCAAGGATGACTTCACTTTTGCCTTCATATTCACAGTGCCTGTATTTAACAAATTTTTGTTGGTTGGTCAATATGTCTTGTTCTACTGACATGTCTCCTTTTGCTGGACCCACTTCATTTTGTATCTCATAATCAGTGACCTCTTTGCTCTGAATGACCTACTTCTTGCTTCTGGCCTTTCATTTTCTGAGGTGCTATCGCTAAATATCCTACAACTCTAAACAGGTCAGCCTAAACAGTCTCTCTCTGCCATGTACTATGGATGTCTTTTAATCATACTTATTTGTTGGGTTTCTAGCTATGCCTCTGCTTGGGGTCTGAAGAAACAGCATAATCCCATTGACTCCAATATTGAGAATTGCAAGATACTTCAGAGTTCAACAAGTTCAACCTCTTCATTTTACAGTTGAAGAAACTGAGGCTCAGAGAGGCAAAGTTGCCCAAGGTCTCACAATCACTAAGTAGCAAAACTGGGATTTGAACTTGTGTCTGACACCAAATTCCACATTCTTTACACTGGGCTATGTTGTCTTGCCTATTTAGGAAATGTGCAAAATTAGTTTTTACCTTTGCTCTATAACTATTTAATAGAAAATTCCCTCATTCTCTAGGAACTCTTTAAGATAATGAGAAAGAAGTGTTATTTCTATCTACTGGTATAGAGGTCT